TTTTACCTACGTGATGTAACGGCTCGTTCCATGACACATTCTGTCCTTAGTGCTCTAACAGAATGAATATTGTTGTTCTCATGGAACTCTGTTTAAGCTCACTTCTGTCTGCATGCATTACAGTGTGAGATGTTGTTTTCAGTCACAGTCGTGTCTGTGATTTTGGTTCTATTGTCACTAATCAGTTCATGATTATTGTTAACAATCAGTTCATTTGATTATTGATCAATTCATGGACATTAATCTGTTTATACTGTTCAGCCATGAACCAGTTGGTTCATGCCCCCCCCCCCCTCTTTTCAACTTCTTCTTCATGTTGAAAGTTTTTCCGGGGTATTCATGTTTGTCAGAACGCATAGTTACACAACATGCGTCTGTGCATGGCACATAATTACGCGATGCGTAGTTTATGCACACGGGGAGCTGAGTGACAAGACGTTTTTTGGGCAAGCTTCCGCTTCTTACTGTGTTCGAATGGACCCAGTGAGGCGAGGACCACATCCGCTTCGCCCTTAAACCATCAGCGACAGCCTTAAAGGGCGAAGCCTATATGAAATAGAACGTTGGTTACGTACTGTAACCCCAGATTCTATGAATATAGGCGTAGCCCTTTAAGCGTCGGGCCTCACTGGCTCCTAAATGGCTGAAGAAAAAAGCTATTTTGGGAGCCGATTTCCCGCTCTTAACGTAATTTATACGGACCGGGTGGGGCCCACACAGCAGGTGGGCGTGGACTAATTTTTTTCAGTGCTTATGCTGCGCATAACGGGATAAACCATCAGCGACAGCCTTAAAGGGCTACGCCTATATTCATAGAATCTGGGGTTACAGTACGTAACCAACGATTTAGGCCGTGACTTGTTAAGAGGCAATGGTGAGTCCAAAAAAAAAAAGGCAAGACCATTTGAGATGAACTTCTCTAAAACAATAAAATCAAACATATCTGCTTTCATGAAACTTGAAGAAACGAAAAGAAAGCTTTACTTTTATATTTTTATTAAATAGGTGTCTATGTACACAACAACCATTAAAAAAACTGTCTTTAATTTTTTTTGTATTTAAAAAAGCACATAGAGCCGTTTGAAAACGTTGTTTGCTGAACTGAGGCCAAACGATTCAAATTCCGGAGAGAAACCGGATGTGACGTATATCCGTCTTTTTCTTCTTCTTTTTTTTTTACCCGGCGGTGGGCGGAGCTTGTCGTAAAGAAACGTAAACAGCTAGCATCAGCGCGGACCACGGAGCAGCATCCGGTGACTGTGAGGTGAGTGTTTTAAACCTTAGGAAGTGTTTTAAACCTTAGGAAGTGTTTTAAACATTAGGATGTGCTCAAACGGTAAACGGTTCCGTGTCTGTAACGGCTGCTTCAACGTTGGTTTATAGTTTTGCCGGACGAAGCTAATTTAGGTGACTTAGCCTTTTGCTTCAGGTTTGCTAGCGAAGGAAGGGAGTTGTGTCACAGCTTAATGTTGAGGCGTCAGCAGGACGTGTCGTGGCGGAGGGAGGTTTCTGCTGAGGTGAGGCTCGTCTTCAAGGACTTCTGTTTATCTAATGCTGCCGGAGGTGTGCTCAGAAGTTTTAGCTGTGAAACTGGTTGAGCTGTAGTGTCTTATCTGAGCGAGGAGCATTATGGGAAACAAGCAGCTGTTTAGCTGTGCTCACTGCCTGCTGTCTGAACTCTCAGAATGGTGGACCTGTCCATACAGTGCCATACATGTTTTTTCTTTTCGACTTGTATTTTTAGCTTGTTGTTTCTTCAAGATAAGGTGTGGCAGAAGGTCAGCTGACGGTTTTGTCACTGGTCTGTGCGGACAGTAGCAGGAAGGCAGCATGAATCGATTACTGAACTTCCTCTGGGTGAAGTTACAGCTTATATTATACGTTTGAACATCATTTAGGACACCACAGACAATAATAAATTATTGTACATTCATCCAAGCTGCCACAAAGACTAATCTATTCTTCTTTTTTTTTTTCAAAGTCTTGTAGGACGTTTTCTACATCTCACATCCTCAGCTGAGCAGATCTACGTTGAGCTGCTCGTTTTGTTCTGCCTTCAAACTCAAAACATTTGTTGATTCAAGATGATGTGTCCCTGAAACTGTGGTCATGTTCGGTTCAAGATAAGGAGGTGCACTTGTTTTGACATCCTTGGCACATGGTGGATGCATGGACCAGTAATATCTCACTAAAATTTTTGATCTTTGATTTTTTTTTTTTTTAGATAAGTTCAAGTAAAAATTGAGTTTTGTTTTGTGAAGCCGGTGCGTCAGCACTCAGCAGTTTGGCTGATCATGGCAGAATCCAGCTCAAAGACGACAGCGCCGACAGACTGTCTGATCGAACGCAGCAAAGAGGAGCCAAGTCTCAGCACAGAGAGCTTTTCCAAAGAAATGGTTGTGACCACAAAAACGGAGGAGTCAGACCACGGAGCCAAAGTCCCGAGCAGCAACAGCCCTCTTCCTGTCTCTGATGAGGAGGCCACGCCCACTCCACCTGAGTCATCACCCAGTCTTTCTGAAAACGAGACGCTCACCATGGTCACCACAGAGGATGAAGCACTTTCAGTTCCACTCGGACATAAGACAGGAGGTCCAGACAGAGGAGGAGAGTCTGGTAAGTCCAGGATCAGCAGTCTGAGCTGCCCCCTTGTTATATCCGTAGACATTTCCTGTAGCCACAAAGTTATTTTGTTCTGCATATTTTTATGTCTTTGTGTTCTAACAGTAAAACCAAGTGTCACCTGAAGGAGAACGTCTCTGTGTGTGTTTGCAGGCTTGGACCAAGACCTGGATGAGAGTTCTTCAGTGATGACGACGGGCGGCTCCGATGATCAGCGGGAATCCACCGACTCTGCGTCGTTCTCCATCCCCAGCCTGGATCTTTCAGACGGGGTCATAACCGCAGGGAACTCTCTGGACATAGAGGACGGCTTGTCCTCGTCCAACTTGGCTGCGGGTGTCCAAGGCTGCTCTCCGTCCACTGAAGTTCCCAGTCTAAAGGAGGGTGAGGCGCTGGAAACTGCAGGTGAGGGTTTACTGCCAACCCCCCCCCCCCACACACACACACACACACTTAATTTAAAATTATTATTTAATGCATTAAAGAAAATGTGTTTAAAAAAACTGCTTCTTTAGAAATTTTCTCAGTGATTTATTTTTTTTGCCCAGTTTAGTTCAAACAGAATTTTCAACCTAGAATTGGTAAAAGATAATGGAAGGATGAATTTAGCTTCGCTGAACATAACTTTATATGAAGTTTAAAAAAAACTGACGACTGTCTATTAATTTATTGATGACGTCTGAAATTCTCCAACTGTTTTCAGTCGTTAGTTCGAGTTTCAAGATTTAAAATGTTTTGGTTCAGTCGGGTCATCTAGGCAGTTTCTTTTTTTTTTCCTGAGACTTTTCACCCTCCATCCGAAGGGCTTCATCATTTTGAGGAGTCGCAAACAAACGGTTTTCGCTACCAAGCAGTACACTCCTCCAGTGGATCAACCAGTTTGCTGGTGATGAGATGGTTTCTGGGGGCCGTCACCTCCTCCCAGGCAACACAGCCAAACTGGTTCAAGACATCTTGGTTCATGCTCAATAATCTGATGCTGATGAAGCCCTTTGGATGGAGGGTGAAACATCTCTCAGACTGATGAAGCCCTTTGGATGGAGGGTGAAACATCTCTCAGACTGATGAAGAGGGTGAAACATCTCTCAGACTGATGAAGCCCTTTGGCTTGAGGGTGAAACGTCTCTCAGACTAGTGAAGCCCTTTGGATGGAGGGTGAAACATCTCTGACTGATGAAGCCCTTTGGGTGGAGGTTGAAACGTATCTCAGACTGATGAAGCCCTTTAGATGGAGGGTGAAACATCTCTCAGACTGATGAAGCACTTTGGCTTGGGGGTGAAATGTCTCTCAGACTAGTGAAGCCCTTTGGATGGAGGGTGAAACATCTCTGACTGATGAAGCCCTTTAGATGGAGGGTGAAACGTCTCTCACCAAAAAAAACTGTCCAGATGACCTGACTGAACATTGTAGGATTTTTTTATTTTAACCTGGATTGTTGAGCATGAACTTTGATGTTTTGGTTCAGTCTATGACTGTAGTTGTCCTCCTGGCCACAGGGGGCGCTGGTGTTGTTGCAGAAGCTTCTGCTGCAGCCGCGCCTGCTGTCTCAGAAGCCGGACCCTCCATGCCGGCATATTACCTGGTGAAGTGGATCACGTGGAAGGAGAAGAAGACCCCCATCATCACTCAGAGTGAGAATGGACCCTGCCCCCTGCTGGCCATTATGAACACGCTCTTCCTGCGCTGGAAGGTAAAATAATATTAGTAATTATTATTTTATAGATCAATATTGTATGACTATAAAAGAAAACTGATGTCCAAATCCTAAATTGCGTGTCCCAGAAGTAAACTTGAATCTGTTTTTGAATCATAACGCTTGATTTTTGGTTTCTAAGTATTTTAAAAAGTTGTTTCAATGTTTAACTTTTTTTTGTTTGTTTTAATCGAAGAACAGCGTTAAAATTTATGGTGTTCAGATGCAGCTGAAGGAGTTTAATAAAGAATAAAGTTCATGTTCAAAGTAGTTGTCTGTTTGGAGTCTGAGTCTAAAAAATAAATCCACGTCACAGACTAACGGTGATAAATGAGGTTAAATAAACTTCGGCTCGTGTTTTAACAGCATTATTGTTTTTTGTGTGTTTTTAGGCCAAACTTCCTGCTCAAACTGAAGTGGTCACTGCGGAGGACCTCATGTCTCATCTGGGTAAAAATTCACTCCAAACAAAGTCTAATTGATGTATACATCAACTGGTAACTGATAGAAAATATTCTTCTTATTTTGAGAATAAGTTTCATAATAACTGTTGCACCCGTTGTGAGGGATATTAGTGTTTGCTGGTGAAATATTTAACTAAAAGTCAGAAGTAGAAAGAAAAACGACTCTTCAGTTCCTGACTTGTTTGTTTTCTTTGAAGGAGAGTGCGTTTTGTCTGTCACTCCCAGAGAGAAGGCTAACGACGTGGAGCTAAACTTCCAGCAGGTACACAAACACACAGACTGTTTTCAGTTGGTTTCTCACAGAATCATTTAACTGTTTCAAAGACCACGGTCACAATGTAAACTGATTTATGTATTTATTCTGTCATAATGTCAATCTGCAGCAACGTGTGATGCGAACGGTGTCGGGCCGTATTGATACTAACGTGATGGGATCGATACTTAAGTTTGTTTCTACCTTGGGTGCATCGCTCCTGGTTCATGAAAGCAATTCTGCACCCGAGCTGGCAGGAAGTGGAAAGATTAAATGTAAACACAGAACCCAACAGTCGTGTCGGTGTCAGCATGCACGTGCTACGTGTGACGTCGCGTCTTCCCCTGAGCGTGCAGGTCACTTCAGGAGCTGAAGTCTGATGACGGTCGCAATTAAATCATAATGTGAAAAATGCAAAAACATATTGAGCATTAAGACCTGCAGTATGAACTGTAGCCAAATCCTGCCTGAAATGTGCATCATCTGTTTCACGGGATGGTTTTAAACCCAGAAACTCATGTAAAGATCCTCACTGTTCTTAAAACTTGTTCACTAGAGATGGGATTTACAGCTCTCTGAAGGGAGCCGGATCTTTCTGCTCTGTTCTTTTCAAAGACTTGTTCAAAGGTGGTACGGTGCACGGCTGTACTACCACTGATCCAGAACGCAACCGCCGCCTCCCCTCCCGAGTGCACGTCACTTTATAAAAACAGCTGCTGCGCTCCTCCTCCTCTTCTTCGCATGTTCTTCTTCATCTCAGTGTAAAAGCAAAGGAGGAGCCTGCGTCTCAGGAGGAAACGCAAGAAGAAAAAAGTTCAACTCTTAACTCGATTCCCATCATTTGTTTTAAAGAATCGTCCAAAAGATTCGGATCGTTTGTGAACATCAACGTCTCATGTTCAATTTCCAAAAATCATATTTTAAAAATAAGACATTTACAAAAATAATTTTGAAAAAGAACGAGGACAATTTAAAAAAAGACCAATTTATGTAATTTGGCATTAAATCTGGGGTGGGAAGGCTTTCACCCGACTCTTCATCACTGATTGAATTTGAAAGTTGTCGATGAATTCTGACGGACTGACCCGCGTCTCTGCAGAACATGAGCGACGCCATGGCCGTACTCTCGAAGCTGTCCACGGGTCTGGATGTAAACGTGCGTTTCACTGGAGTCACGGACTTCGAATACACCCCAGAGTGCATCGTGTTCGACCTGCTGGACATCCCGCTGTACCACGGGTGGCTGGTAGACCCTCAGGTGACATGTTGACAATTTACAGAGTAAATGAAGGAACATGGAAACTGCACAGTTCCAGGATCTGTCTCTTAATTTAAGTTAGTGGAGGTCACGGCTGTGTGTTCTCTGCGTTTAGAGCCTGGAGATGGTTACTGCTGTGGGCAAACTGAGCTACAACCAGCTGGTGGAGAAGATCATTGACTGCAAACACTCTGCAGACAGCAGCCGAGTCAGTGAAGGTAACACGACTACGTCTGAATCAACGGAACAGAAAGCCGACATGTGGAGAATCTAAACCGTGTGTGATGCTGATTCGGAGCGATGAAGAGCTTCTTCTGAACGTGCATGAATAAAGAACGACGTCTTTGTTCTCCGTAGGTTTGGTGGCAGAGCAGTTTTTAGAGTCGACAGCGACTCAACTTTCATATCACGGTCTGTGTGAACTCAACACGACGGCTAAAGAGGGAGAGATCTCGGTGTTCTTCAGAAACAACCACTTCAGTACGATGATCAAACACAAGGTGGCGACAGACGCAGTTCCCGGCAGGATCAGCATCAAACCCACGGTCCGTGTTGCTGATGAACTTTGTGTCGTCTCTCAGGGCCACCTGTACCTGCTGGTGACGGATCAGGGCTTCCTGCAGGAGGAGAGCGTGGTCTGGGAGTCTCTTCACAACGTCGAAGGAGATGGAAACTTCTGCGACTCCGACTTCAGGTTGTGTCACCCTCCTGAGAGAGCTCCGCCCACCTCCCACCTGCCGCCCAGCGCCCAGGAGCAGCAGAGGCAGATCGACCAGGTGAGGCCTTCGGGGAACGAGTCGAGATGATCGGTCGGTTATTAAAGCACCGCTGATCCGTCTCGCTGTTGGTGTCAGGACTACCTGGTGGCCGTGTCCCTGCAGCAGCAGCAGGGGGGGGCCCCGGGACCTCTCAGTGACCTGGAGTTGGCCCAGCAGCTCCAACAGGAGGAGTACCAGCAGCAGCAGCAACAACAACAACAACAGGGATCATCGCAGGCGGCGCACCAGGTACAAGTCAAGTTTTTAAACAAGTTTGATGATTTAAAAAAATTCAACGAGACTCGGAGAGGGATAATATTTATGTTGTTCATTTCACCTTTATTCAACCAGGTATAAACACTAAGAACAAATTCTTCTTTACAGAGCTGGTCTGGCAGCACCAACAGACACTTGTAGGGTCAAGGAAGGGAAACAACATTTAGACAAAACAATAAAATATAGAAGTCTGTGAACAAGGAAATCACAAATTAGTTAACAGTTCATGTCAAAGTTAAACGACAACATTAGTAAGCATGGCAACACTTGAAAGAATCTTTAAACACGGCTTTTCAACGATTTTTAAAACCAGAAACTGGGACAAGTGAGATCAGACTCAAAGTTTTTGTTGATGCAGATCCCGGTCAGATGGAGCAGCAGAGCCACTTGTTAACCACAGACACCGAGAGGATCGGGTGTTACACTTCGTAACCGGTGCTAGTTGCAGTAGATTAGTTAAATATGGAGGTAAATAACTCAGCAATGTCTTGTAAATTAGGGTAAACCAATAAAGTTCATGAGTGTGTAGAGAGGCCATTTAACAAGAGAGTAGAGACAATGATGTTCTATAAGGAGCATTTGTAACAAAGAGAATAGCAGAGTGATAAACTGTGTCCAGCTTACAAAGGACACTGTTACAAGCATGTCTGTAAATTGTCTCCATAATCCAACAGAAGCAGAATGTTTTTTTTTTTTTTTAAATGGTGCGTTTTGAAGCCAATGTGACCAAGTCTCGCTTTAACCTTGCATTGCAAAATATGTGAAAAGGACAGAGCACCATCAATTCAAATTCCCAAATATTTATTAACTGTTACCTCTTCTATAATATCACCGTTTACAGTGAAGTCCTCCTCCCCCCACGACCGAATTACATTTAGTTTTCTTGACATTTAAGAACAAATTTCAGTCAATAAAAGCCTGCTGGATTTCAAGAGAATCACATGCCAAGGACTTTACAACCTCATCTGGAGTGGAACCAAAATAAAATAATGTCATCAGCATATAAATGGATGGAGGCCTCACTAACAGAATGTGAGAGATCATTTAGAAATATGGAGAAAAGAGTTGGACCAAGAATGGAGCCTTGGGGTACACCTGACTTAACTGGAAGAAACTGTGAAGTATGAGAGTCAACCTTCACTTGCTGTGACCTATTCAAAAGATAATTTCAGTGACGGCGAAATAAAAGTTAATTTAGACAAATTAATGTGACAACATTTTAACATTTAAGGTTTTAACATTTAAGGTTTTAACCTTAAAATGATTTGAGAATTAGGCGTTTAAAAACAGATTATCAGGCTGTCAGCCTCGTCGTTAAAGCCCTAATCTACATTCAAAACGTTGCTTGCTTCATTCTGCAGATGGTTTTGTTAAGGTACTTAATTCAGTTGAAAAGTCAAATGAAAGACAAACGAGAACCGTTAAAGCCATAAATTCACTTTTTGCCGATGTCTAAAATAATCCACGACAGCCAGTCTGTAAAATGTACAAGAAAACAAACTTTTCAGGAATCGGTCCCAATTTAAGATAAAAACGTAGTTTATGTATAAAGATGCTTGTCTGTGAATACTCAGACTTTGGGCACAGAAACTGATTTAATCCTGAATTATTCCACAAAATGATCGGGTCAGATTTAGTTTCACCTCGTCCTCAAAGTTTTAGCCGCTCAGACATTGAACAGGAAGTTCAAACTTAATTTTTCAGCTTCATATCAGCGTGTGAACTCGACATTTAGTTTGTTCTGCTTTCAATAAATACACGACAGACTCTTCCCCTCAGCACGTAGCTGCAGAAGTGGTGAAAGCTGCCTTCAAAACGAGGCTCGAGCTGCGACGCAAAACTCGTTCCAGGGAGATCGTTTTCTACTCGACTGTTTTTTGTTTTCACGCCATGAGTTCACGTTACAGCCGTCGAGTTTTAACTCCTCTTGTTGTTGCTGTCTTCAGGTCAGAGGTCAAGGGTCGCAGCAAGCCAGAAGAAGAGAGAAGGACTCGGACTGCGTCGTCCTTTAGCTTCGCCCTCGTGTGGAACACCTCAGAGCTCCCTGAGCTCGGTGTGTCGGCTGCAGCTCCATGCCAAACCCGAGTGCTTTTTGTCCAGGTCCACAGTTTGTGTCAGACCCGGTTCTGGTTTGTAAAGTCAGAGGGTTCTGTTGGACCAAACAGGTACCACTGATGAACAAAGGGCTCGTCAGAATTACTGAGATCTTTATTTATAAACTCTTAACTGCTGCTTTTAGCTCAGTGTAGGATTGTTAAGAAGAAGTTTGTGTTGCCAACAATCAAAAGCTAAAAATGACTTTTGGTTTCGACAGTTAGACATCGGTTAAAATTTCCAACACTTTAACTAAAACGTCTAATAAAGGCGGTCTGTAGTTCTCAGAGAGGCGGGGGGTCAAAGGTACAGAAGGTTTAAAAGGTTTCACCCAACGTCCTCCTGCTGCGATCTCCGTTACATCAAACCAAGTGAAGTGTCATTTTTCTTGTTTTCTGAACGTCTGCTGAAACTCACGACGTCTCGTCTTTTCTCTCATTCTGTGTCGATTTCCTTGAAGCCAAACCTTTTAT